ATGATGTTGGCCACAGTTAGCACTCACCTGAAGGCATGATGGAGCCTGGAGAATCTGCATCCAGGATGACTCACTGGCGATTAGTGCTGGCTTTGGGGAGGCTTCAGTTCCTTACCTGTGAACTCTGTACAGCAGAGCGTCCTCGTAACAAAAGTGAGTGATCCAAGGGAGAGCAAGACAGAGTGCCTCAGGGTCTTTGAGTACCTTGAACTAGCATGTGAAAGTACATCTTTCATTTCTGTAAGACCCTGTTGGTTGTACAGGTCAGTTCTGATCAAAGGAGGAGGGGACGACATAAGGTCGTGACTGTAATGCCCAGAGGTGAGGACCGCTGGGAGACATCTTGGGAGTTGGCTACATAGCCTGCCTTCTAGCTCCCAGTGAGTGATTCATGTTCCTTCCACATGGAGAACACCCTACTCACTTTCTCCTAAGGCCATACCCCATTTCAGGATCAGCTGGAAGTCCAGAACCCCATCATCTGAATGAGGTAGAGGTATAGCAGTACCTGCGTTTCCTTTAATGCAGCTCAGCTACACTTCCTTTTGGTGTGAAGACACGTGAATTAAAGAAACAATTTATTTCCGCCTCACACACCCAAAGTACAACAGTGAGGTAGGTTTAGGGTAACTGATACAGGAGAATTCCTTTTCAAAGAGAGGGGAAATGGGAGGCACACAGGAGTCATGGGTCCAAACCATTTTGAAATCCAGCCGGACATATACTGGCAGTTGCTTGGTTAGGACTCAAGGCCTAGGAATCATTTCTCAAGGACTTTGGTCTTGCCCTCATTCATTCTTTTTACCTGATAGGTAGTTTTTGTTTGCAGCTACATAGTTTTCTCGGCCTGCTTACTGCCCATAGAAATGTGGGTATTTAGGGATGCCTGAGTGGCTCAGTTGGTTAAGCTTCTGACATCAGCTCAGGTCACGATCTTGTCTCTGAATTTGAACCCTGCCATCAGGCACTGCACTGACAGCTCAGAGCCTGGAGCTGCTTCGGATTCTGTGTCTCCCTCTCTCTCTGCCCCTCCCCTGCTTGTGCTATGTTTCTCTCTCTCTCAAAAATAAACGTTAAAAAAAAATAGAAATGTGAGTATCTAAAGCCCTCTTTTCCTTTTGAACTATCTCTGGCCCTTTCAGTCCAACCTGGTAGTGTTTCTGATAATTCAATCGTCTTACACACTTTGTGGGTCTCCTATGAAGCTTACTGAGGGTGGTGGGGGGTTCACTCCATCAGGTAAAAGCCATACTTACAAATGTCTTCAAGACAAGGCCTTTTCTACCATTGTTTTTGAGACTGGGTTTCCTCAGAAGCCTGATCTTTGACCAGAATGTTTTCTGTGTCACCACTTTAGCTCTTTCTGAGGTCTAAAAGCATTTTATAGCCACACTCTCTGGTTCACCTTCTCACTGTGCCCTGGATTTGATCTTTGCCAAGGAGCCATCTCTTAATTTTAGCACCTGTTGTTGTCTGGAGAAGCTAGAAATTTCTAAACTCAAAAATCCTTGGCTTTGTTTAAAAGTTTTTCCTTTAGTTTTTCTTTTTTTGCAGTTTATTGTACGCACCAGGAAGCCAGGCAGTTCCTTTAACACGACTAAGGGGTTATTGTATCCTGACCTGGTGCACAGGTCCCTTATTCAGCTTGGGGATGGTGTGCAGCCTTGTAAAACACCAGGAGACAGGAAGCAGTGGGGTCCGTGTGGATGTTGGCTGCATGTCTGATGGCCCTGTCCCTGGCACCCGCCCTAGTCATTGGCATTTCACGTCTCTCAGTCTCTTACATGTTAGATTCTGCTGAGAGTTCACCCTCGTTTGGCAAATTCTGACAATGTTACTGAGAGATGGGGGCATCCCCCACTTTGCTAATGATGAAATAGGGTCTAGCTTGAGGGGTGAGTATGGCAGGGATTTGCCAGTGTTGTCTCAAGGGGGGACTTGTGAGGGCCTGGACGTTAGGACTGAGATGTAAGGATGCTTTTGAGCAGCACTTTATTTCTGGGGGTTTGGGCTGAATGCCTCTCCCTGCTCTGTGCCAGCGTGTCCGAAGCGGTGACTGGAAGGGGTACTCAGGCAAGCCCATCACGGACGTCATCAACATCGGCATCGGCGGCTCCGACCTGGTGAGGAGGACTCCCTTGGGATGGGGTGAGGGGTCCCACCCGAGTCTTGATTTTTCCAGGGTGAGACCTGGCTTTCGCCATCTCTGTGGGCCCTGGAGTCTTGTGTTCTGATGCTACATCTCCCCATAGGGACCCCTCATGGTGACTGAAGCCCTTAAGCCATACTCTTCAGGAGGTCCTCGGGTCTGGTTTGTCTCCAACATCGATGGGACCCACATTGCCAAAACTCTGGCCAACCTGAATCCCGAGTCCTCCCTGTTCATCATCGCCTCCAAGGTATGGGCCTCAGACCCAGCCTGGCTCCCCAGCCCTGTGTGTGTTGGGTGGCATTGGGTGGGTGGACCCTTCCGAGTGCGTCCTGCTTTGTGGACTGGGTCCGTGGCTGCCCTCAGACTGTTCTTTGTCAGGCAGCAGACACGGTTTACCTGACGGAAACCAAACTGGTCAGTTAGAACCTTCATCTTAAGGCCACGTGTGTTGCTCTGTGGGAACTGTGTCTTGCCTGGGACTGTCCTTGTCTGCCTGAGAGATCTGTCCTTACTGTCTGCTCCCTTCTGACCCCAGAGCCCTGCCCAGATAATGTAAGGGTCTTGTTTGTGACCATTTATGCCCTGTTTACTCCCATCGGCGTGGCCACAGCCCCTTTGCTGGAAGACGCTTTGGCCTTGACCTGTGGTGGAGGAGTGGGGTGGGTGTGTGGCTTTCACTAGGATTCTTCTTCCTCTGCTTGGGAAGTCCTCGAATCACAGCTTCATGGTACTGCTTCAGGCCCCTGCCTCAGACACAGCCACTCACTGTGGCTTTGGGGACAGGTGGGTGGAGGCTGTGTGGAGTGACTGTCACTGCTCCTTGTGCTAACTGGGCACCCACATGGTCTCCGCCACTGAGCCTGGCTCCGGGTCACAGCGACCCTGATTGCCCTACTTTCTGGCTGCAGACCTTTACCACCCAGGAGACCATCACGAATGCGGAGACCGCGAAGGAGTGGTTTCTCCTGTCTGCCAAGGATGTGAGTGCCGGCGTGGGTGGTGGGCACTGCGTGGGCCTGGAAGGACAGGGTGGGCCTGCCTGGCCACCTGGGCGGCCAAGCCTAACGCTCCACGTGGCCCTATTTCTCCTGAAGTTGGCGGCAGGAGGCGGCCTCTTTTGGTGCCCATCTTTTCCGGTTAAGATATTTGCCAGTCCCAGACAGGTCAGGTGTGCCAGCTCTAACTAGCTGAGGGCACTGTAAGGTCCCTTGTCCCTGCAGGATCCTCTGTAGTCCTGGCCACACCCATTTATTTATAGGACCCTGGGCCTTGTGTGTCTGTGAGGTAGGCTGGGCCTCTGACTCCTTGTCTTCTTGACCTTGACATGGGGCTCCTCCAACAGCCTCAGAGCCCAGTACTGGGAGCAGTCAGTCCCACCCAGGGCCTCGGTTTCTCCAGAGATGGGAGGCTCACTACCCTCGGGCGGCCCCCTGGGCTGGGTTCGGTGTAACCTGGTTCTGTCTCTTGTAGCCTTCTGCAGTGGCGAAGCACTTTGTTGCCCTGTCTACCAACACGGTAAGTGCCCGCGTGGGCTCCCAGACATCCCCCCTGGGAGGGCCCAGGCCCCGTCAAGGTGTCACAGTCAATCAGAATACTCAGCTGGGATGGGATTTGCGTGTCTGGGGACCTTGGCTGGGCTGATGGGATAGAAGGGTCGGTTGCCCAGGAGGGATGTGGGCTGCCCCGCGTCCCTTCTGCCTCCTGCCATCACATGTGTGCAACTGCAGAGAGATCCCGTTGACCCTGCCTGCCCCCGGGGCCTGACAGATATCCAGAACGCTCCACACGCATGACCTCCGTGGCCTCTGCCACCCTACCACTGGCCTACCCCACGTGGGATGTGCAGGGTAGGGGTGGGGAGTGCATCCCATTTCTTACATAAGGACGTTAAGCCCTGTGAAGGATTTTTGCCCACTGACTGCATGAGTCAGTGATGCTGGGATTAGAACACCGGTCTCCTGCCTGCCAGTTCTCACACTGCCCGGCCCCGGGCTGTGTGAGGTGGGGGGTGGGGCTCTGTGCTGGGAGCTGCAAACCTCATGAGCACTTGCTGTCTGGTGGGCTTTGCACGGGGCCATGTCAGAGCTGGAAGCACGTTCCGGTTTTCCAAACAGTTCCCACCATCTCCTCTGCCCCTCCTATCCACCCCCCACCCCTGCCTCCGGGCTGCCCTGCCCACGGAGGGGAGGCAGGAGCTCATCTTAATGCTGGCTGACCAGAGCACCACTGTCTGCCTCCTGCTGGCAGAGTCCAGGCTAGTCAGTGGGGGCGTCCCCTCCTGTGGGACTACAGAAGCATTGCTCCCCCTGTGTGCACAGGGGACAGAGTGCCTGAGGAATAGGAAGCCATCTCCTAAAGGCTTCCTGGGGAAGGGTCACCATCTCAGATACTGGAAGGCCTAGACAGGTGTCCTGGCTGTGTGACCCATGGCCTGGGGGTGGTTCCCGCCCTGGCTGTTACCCGTGCTTCCTGGATGGGTTGGTCTCTCCACCCCGACAGGTCTGGGAGGTGGGGCTTGCAGGGCAGTGCGTGGCCCGGGTCCCTGCGCCGGGCGCGTGGCCTCCCTTCATGGGAGGGCTTCGCAGGCACCAGGCTGCGGCTGCTGCTGGGCACGAGCCGGCCCATGTCTAGTTCTGAGAGTGAAAGCTGCTGGCTCCTGGCCTGCTGGCTGCTCCGGCCCTGCCCCGTCTGCCCACAGCTTAGGGGCATGACACCTGGCACCCAGGAGCTCCTCTTCCGGTCCAGCTAACATAGGCTTCCTTCCTTCCCTCCCTTTGCCCCTTTTTAGGCCAAAGTGAAGGAGTTTGGGATTGACCCTCAAAACATGTTCGAGTTCTGGGATGTAAGTAAAAACACTTCCTTGCGCTGGGTGAATTGTGTGTCCTTTGCCAGGCGTGACCACTGAGCCACAGATGAGGGGCTTGTGAGGTCAGGTCAACATTTTTGAGCGCCTGCTGCATGCCTAGTTTTGGGAAATGGCTGAGAGGCCCTCGGAGAGGCTTGTGAGGCAGGAGCAGCCCAGCTGGGATGAGGGCTCCGCTTCCACGGAGGGTAGGCTGAGCTTGCAAGGCCCTGGGGACACTCCCCTGGGCGCCTGCCAACGGCCCCCACCATGGGGTAACTGGAGCCACCCCTACCCCCCTTCTCTAAACTTGAGGTTGTGAGTTATTCTCAGTGTTGACCTTTTTGTGAACTGCAGCCGCAATCCGTAAAGGCCAAGGGGCAGGGTGAGGCAGGAGGTGTGCCTGGGCAGGCCTGCTCGGGAGGGGTGGAACCAGCCAGCAGGTGGCAGAGAGGAGGCGCCAGGCCTAGGGCCTGCACAGACCCTTGTCAGGCAGCCTGCAGAGCAGACGTCGCCTGAGCGGCCCTAGCAGCAGGTAGTCAGGGACTCACCTCTGCTACAGCCATAGCTGGTGCCAAGCAGTGGGCAGGACCTCTCCTTGCGGCTTGCCTGAGCGTGGCCCTGGCAGGGGAAGGGCTCCGGCTATGGAATGCTGGGGAGCCTCGGGGTGCAGGGTGCAGTGTGGGTGCTGTGAATGCAGCGGGCGCTGTTCTAACACGTGACCGGGGCAGGCGAACCAAAGGGGGCATCGTCCAATGGGAGTTTTCCCACTGAGACTGTTTGCAGGCCTTTAGACTGGAAGCTGTTTGCTCGGGGGCCGCATCCACAGATGTGATCTCTTCTGAAACTTCTGAAGGCCTTGGAGTCTGGGAGAAAATGAAGCCCTGAGGCCCTAAGGCATCTGTTGTGTGTAATGAGTTAACTTCTTTCCAGAATGGGACTGATTATGTGCCATCCTTGGAAGAATTGAGAAGAGTCACTCAAATCATATTCTGCGTCCTGTGGCTCAGATGAGGAACCCCGGTCGAGAGAGACCATGCAGCTTCTAACAAACGTTGCATGTCTGATAAAGTAGGGGAGGCGCCTTCTATCTCCTTCCTGGGATCTGGAGCCTGAACAGGAGGTGGTCAGGAACAAGTGGGTCTCCTGCCAGTCACCCCTGTGTGGGCCGTAACAGCCCAGCGTGCAGAGATGAAGTGGGGTGTGGCTTAGGGAGAGGCCCAGGTCTCCCAGGTAAGGCCTGGAGTAAGGCATGGGGCTGGTGCTGGCAGTGTGGCCTGAGTGACCGAGGTGGGCCCGGTGAAGGCTTCCATGGCCCGGCCAGGCATACCACATAAAAGTGGCTGCAAGAGAGGCCTGCCTTGGTCACTAAGGATGTGTATTGTTTTGAATCAAGAGGTGCCGCCTGAGGAGCCGGGGAGGGTGAAATTTCTGGAGCTAGTATCTCTCAGGTGAGACAGAGGGTCAGGACAGACGTAGGGAATATCTTACTGGCTCTGAGGTAAGATCAGAAGAGTCCAGTCTCGCAGGGGGACATAGAAGTGGTGAGGCCTGGGTAGTTAGGGTCAGTTGTGGGGTAGCCTCGTGTGTCGGGACCAGGCAGAGGGAGGGTGGTAAATTGTGGGGCTTCTCAGGGCTCAGCCAGAGTCAGCTCACATTGGAAAGCTAACTTTGGCTGGCGGGGTCTGAAGAGGAGCCAGGACAGGTGCAGGTGAGTTCGGAGGAGGAGCCAGGACAGGTAAAGGTACTGATGAGGTCTGTGAATTCTGGAAGAGACACCAGTAGTTAGAGATGGTTCTGTCAGGTGAGGTCTGAGGAGCCAAAGTCATGTACAGGTACTCTAACCTGGATCTGTGAGGTGAAGTCCCTGGCATGGGACAGTTGCATACATCAGGTCTCTTTTGACTCGTTCTGCAAAGTGAACATCAGGTCATGGGTGTCTGATCACTCAAATGAGGCGATTAAAACTCAGAATTAGGCAAATATATGCAAGCCCCCTGAGCCACATCGGCTACCTGGCTCTCGGCATCCTGACCATGTGTGGTAAGCAGAGCTCGGGGTTGCAGAGGCCTTGGCGGTCCACAACCAGCCCAGGGTTCTGGCACTGGGTTCTGGCTGGGGTGGGGTTCCATGGCCCAGGTGAGGGAGAGTTAGGAATAGAGCAAGTCCTACCCGGTGAGGACTGGGGAGTTGGGGCATGTGAAGAAGAGACAGAAGCCATGTTGGTAAGGTATGGCCTGAGAGGCTCGTGGCAGATAAAGGAGTAGAGACCATGTCTATAGGGTGAGATGTCTGCGGCCCAAGTCACTCAGGCACCAAGGGGCTCTCATCAGTCGACCCTCAGGCTGAGGTAAGCAGCCAGGAATTTGTCCCATCTGAGGGAGGTATCTGTTCAGATTAAGTTTGTGCAGTGGAGTCGGCCAGGAGTGGTCTGTAGAGCCACATCTGTCTGAGGTCTCGGGAGCTGGAGTCAGGCATGGTGCGTATAACTAGGTTTCTTCGGGAGGCCTGAGGAGCCGAGATTTGGCACATGTAGGTAGAAGCGGCTTGCTCAGGTAAGGACACTGGAGCTGGGAAAGGGCAGAGGCAGCTGAGTCTGATAAATGAGGACTAGGAATCCACGATCAGGTCCGGGTCACAGCTGTGTCCTCAGGTGACATCCAGCAGTTCTGGTCGTGTACAACTTGGTGATCCTGGAGGTGGTCCTGGCTCCCCTGGGAAAAGACTGAAAAGCTGGAGTCAGGCACAGGAAGGGGACCTGCATCCATGAATTCTGGGTCTGGCTCAGGCATGTAGTCAGGTATGGGTCTCTCAGGTGAAGAGTTGAGGTGAGATACAGATTTGTACTTTGGGTTTCTACCAGGTAAGGTCTGAAATGCTGAGGGCAGGCTCTGGTTTGTATTCTGAATCTGAGGGGCTGGGGTCAAGCACAGGTGGGTAGAGTTGAGTTTTTGAGGTAACATCTATGAAACCAAAGGCAATCAGAGGTAGGCTGACCTCAAAAGCCATGGTTAGGTTCATTCAACTTTGTCTCACTACTGAGTTTAGGCATACGTTGGTAGACCAGATGTGTCAGGTAAGGCCTAAGGAGCTGGTATTAGGCTTATCTGGAAAGAATTGGATCTCTGAGGTGATCTCTGAGGATATGAAGTCTTGAGAATAGGGCTCAGTCTCTCAGGTGAGATCTGAGGAGCTAGGATTGGGTACCAGTGACTAGATCTGGATCTCCTAAGTAAGGTCAAGATCAGCAGATAGAACTGCATCTCTGCCTGTCTTGTAGAATTGTTTTGCAAGATTGATGAGTCATGGCCAAGTATAGGTATATGGAATTGAGTTTCTCAGGAAAGACCTATGGAGTCTGTATCTGGCAGAGGTTTGTATCCTTGAGAGTGTCAGTATGAGTTAAGCATAGGTGAGTACAGCAGGGTTTTGTCAGGTAAGGTCTGTGGAGCCAAGATGAGGGCAGGTTCACAACACTCAGTCTCTCCAGTGAGTTCTTAGTCACAGTCAAGCCCTGGTAAGAACTGAATGTCTTAGAGGAGATGTGAGCAACGGAGAGGTATTGGGAGGTGGAGCTAGCCCACCAGGTCCAATCTGAGGAGCCAGGAGCAAGCACAGGTAGGCAGAGCAGGCCCACCAGGCGAGGTCTGAGGACCCAGAGGTCAAACACAGGTAGGCAAAACTGGCCCACCAAGTATGGTCTGAGAAGCCAGGGTCAAGTACAGGTAGGTAGAACAGACTTACCAAGGTGAAGTCTGAGGAACCAATGTGAAACACTGGTAGGAAGAGCTGGTCTGGCAAGTGAGGTCTGAGGAGCCAGGGTCAACCATAGGTCCACCAGGTATGGTCTGAGGAGCCAGAGTCAAGCACAGGTAAGCAAAATTAGATTGCCAGGTATAGTCTGAGGAGCCAAGGTCAAGCAAAGGTAGGTGGAACTGGCCTATCAGGTGATGTCTGAGGATCTGGAGTCAAGCACAGGTAGGCAGATTTGGCTTGCCAGGTGAGGTCTGAGGAACCAGGGTCAAGCATAGGTAGGTAGAACTAGCCAGCCAAGTATGGTCTGAGGAACCAGGGTCAAGCACAGGTAGGTAGAATTGGCCTGCCGGGTATGATCTGAGGAGCCAAGGTCAAGTACAGGTGGGTTGAACTGGTCCACAAAGGGTGGTTGGAGGAGCCAAGATCAAGCACAGGTAGGTAGAGTTGGCTCATCAGGTAAGGTCTGAGGAGCAGGGTCAAGCACAGGTAGGTAGAACTGGCTCGCTAGGTGAGGTCTGAGGAACCAAGGTGAAACACAGGTAGGCAGAGCTGGCCTAGCACATGAGGTCTGGAGAACCAGGGTCAACCATAAATGGGTAGAACTGGTCCACCAGGTATGGTCTGAGGAGCCAGGGTCAAGCAGAGGTAGGTAGACTGGCCTGTCAGGTGAAGTCTGAGGAACTGAGGTCAAGCACAGGTAGGTAGAACTGGCCTATCAGATGAAGTCTGAGGAACTGAGGTCAAGCACAGGTAGGCAAATTTGGCTTGTCAGGTAAGGTCTGAGGAGCCGGGGTCAAGCACAGGTAGGTAGAACTGGCCTATCAGATGAAGTCTGAGGAACTGAGGTCAAGCACAGGTAGGCAAATTTGGCTTGCCAGGTAAGGTCTGAGGAGCCAGGGTCAAGCACAGGTAGGTAGAACTGGCCTATCAGGTGAAGTCTGAGGAGTCAGGGTCAAGCACAAGTAAGTAAAACTAGACCGCCAGGTATGATCTGAGGAGCCAAGGCCAAGCATAGGTAGGTAGACTGGCCTGTCAGGTGAAGTCTGAGGAGCCAGGGTCAAGCATAGGTAGGTAGACTGGCCTATCAGATGAAGTCTGAGGAACCAAGGTCAAGCACAGGTAGGTAGAACTGGCCCAGTAGGTATGGTCTGAGGAGCCAAGGTCAAGCACAGGTAGGTAGAACTGACCCACCGGGTATGGTCTCAGGAACCAGGGTCAAGCATAGGTAGGTAGAACTGGCCCACCGGGTATGATCTAAGAGCCAGGGTCAAGCACAAGTAAGTAAAACTAGACCGCCAGGTATGATATGAAGAACCAAGGTCAAGAAAAGGTAGGTAGAATTGGCCTATTGGGTGAGATCTGAGGAACCAGGGTCACGCATAGGTAGGTAGAACTGGCCCACTAGGTATGGTTTGAGGAGCCAAGGTCAAGCACAGGTAGGTAGAACTGTCCCACCAGGTTAGAGGAGCTGGGGTCAGAGACAGGTAGGTAGAAATGGCCAACCAGGTATGGTCTATGTTTGGACCCCGGGTCAAGCACAGGTAGGTAGAACTGGCCTGTCAGGTGAAGTCTGAGGAACTGAGGTCAAGCACAGGTAGGTAGACTGGCCTGTCAGGTGAAGTCTGAGGAACTGAGGTCAAGCACAGGTAGGTAGACTGGCCTGTCAGGTGAAGTCTGAGGAACTGAGGTCAAGCACAGGTAGGTAGAACTGGCCTGTCAGATGAAGTCTGAGGAACTGAGGTCAAGCACAGGTAGGCAAATTTGGCTTGTCAGGTAAGGTCTGAGGAGCCAGGGTCAAGCACAGGTAGGTAGAACTGGCCTATCAGATGAAGTCTGAGGAACTGAGGTCAAGCACAGGTAGGCAAATTTGGCTTGTCAGGTAAGGTCTGAGGAGCCAGGGTCAAGCACAGGTAGGTAGAACTGGCCTGTCAGGTGAAGTCTGAGGAACTGAAGTCAAGTACAGGTAGGCAGACTTGGTTGCCAGGTCAAGTCTCTGGAACCAGGGTCAAGTATAGGTAGGTAGTGCCACACTGTCATTTGTGGTCTGAGGAGCCAAAGTCAAGCATAGGTAGGTAGAATTGGCCCACTGGGTGTGGTTTGAGGAGCTAAGGTCAAGCATGGGTATGTTGAACTAGCCTGTTAAGTCTGAGGAACGGAGTTCAAACACAGTAGGCAGATCCGGATTGCCAGGTGAGGTCTAAGGAGCCAGTGGTAATTAAGCACAGGTAGGTTGAATTGGCCTGTCAGGTCAGGTCCAAAGAACTGGGGTCAAACACAGGTAAGCAGATCTGGCTTACCAGGTAAGGTTTGAGGAACCAAGGTCAAACATAGGTAGGTAGAACTGGCTTACCAGGTGAAATCTGAGGATCCAGGGTCAAGTATAGGTAAGTGGAACTAGCCATGGTCTAAGGATTCAGGGTCAAGCACAGGTAGGTAGAACTGGCCTGTCAGGTCAAGTCCGAAGAACTGGGGTCAAACACAGGTAGGCAGATCTGGCTTGCCAGGTGAGGTCTGAGGAGCAAGGGTCAAGCATAGGTAGGTAGAACTGGCCCACCAGGTACAGTCTAAGGAGCCAAGGTTAAGCATAGGTAGGCAGAGCTGGCCCAGCAGGTTAGAGGAGCTGGGGTCAGAGACAGGTAGGTAGAAATGGCCAACCAGGTATGGTCTATGTTTGGACCCCGGGTCAAGCACAGGTAGGTAGAGCTGCCTCACCAGCTGCAGTGTAAGGACCCAGAGGCATGTAAGGTAGGCAGATCTGGTCTGCCAGGTGTGGTCTAAGGACCCAGGGTCAAGCACAGGTAGGTAGAAATGGCCCTCCAGGTGTGATCTAAAGACCAGGGTTGTTCACAGGTGGGTAGAAGTGGCCCACCAGATATGGTCTGAGGAGCTAAAGGTCAAGCACAGGTAGGCAGAACTGGCCTGCCAGGTGTGGTCTGAGGAGCCAAGGTCAAACACAGGTAGGCAGAACTGGCCTGCTAAGTACAGTGTAAGGAGCCAGGGTTATATGTAGGTAAGTAGAGCTGGCCCACCAACTGCAGTATAAGAAGCCGCAGGCAGATCTGCCCTGCCAGGTATGGTCTGAGGACCCAAGATCAAGCAAAGGTAGGTGGAGCTGGTCTGTCAGGTGTGGTCTGAAGAGCCAGGGTCAGAGGTAGGTAAGCAAAGCCCATTGCCAAGTGTAATGTCTTGAGAAGGTCTGAAGAACTAGGGTTGAGCTGAGGAGCCATGGTCAAGCACCGATAGGCAGGTGTGGTCTGGGGAGGGAGGTGAGGGAGGTTGAGTTGACTCTCAGATGCTGGATTCAGGCAAAGGTATGTACCCTTGGATCTTTGTGGTGGGTCCTGAAGGAGGTTAAGCCTGGGTAGGTGGAGTGGCCACAGGCAAGTCCCACAGCATTGGAGTCTTTAGGTGGACAGAACACTGTGAGGTTCAGGGGAGGTCTGTAAGCCCTAAGTTAGACCTGAGTAGGTAGATGTGGCTCTCTCAAGCATGGACTTTGGAACCAGAGATCTACACTTGAGTCTTGTTGGTGAGGTCCTTGGAACATGGTTCTGGCTCAGGTGTGCCGACCCAGGTCTTAGAGGGGAGGCTTGGGGAGTATGGGTTAGTCCCAGGGAGGGAGAGCCACATCTCAAGGGGCGGGGGGTGGGGGGGAGCGGCTAGAGCACTGGTATACAGAGATATTTGTGTCGGATGAGGTCTGAGGCTCCTCAGTGAGGGGTTGGTGCCAGGTCAAGCAGTGGCTGCCAACGTTGGATACAAGATGCGGAGAGCCAAGTCAGACACAGGACATGGAGCTGGTTTCTCCAGTTAGGCCTGGGAGCTGGGGTCAGGCCTGTTTAGATAGAGCTGAGTCTCTCAGAAAGGTGTGAGGAATCCGAGTTGGGCTTAGGGAAGTGCGCCTGGGTCTGTCGCTTGAGATGTGAGGAGTCCAACACAGATAGATATGGGGAGCTGGGTGCATCCACTGAGCTTTCTGGAGCCTGCCTCTGCCAGGTGTGTGACCCTGGAGTATGAGGTACTGGAGCAGGACACAGGTGGGCAACTTCCCAGGCGAATTCGTTGCATCCAGGCAGTGCCGTGAGTCTACAGATCCAGAGTCACATGGGCAGAGGTATAGAAGTGTGATCTTAGGTGGGTTCTTGTCACCTGGGGTCAAGTACAAGTTAGCATCCCTGGGCTTGTTAGGTGAAATGAGTAGGCAAGCTCCAGCCGAGGAATGCATAACTGGTGTGGCCGGTGAGACCTGAGAATGTGGGCCAGGTGCAGAGGGGTCCTTGGTGGTAGGATCAGGTATGGTTTTCATAGCTTGGGCCGCCCTCAAGGGAAAGCCAGAGTCATCATACGTATGTGTACCTGGGTCTGCCTGGGGACCCTTAGGATCAGGTAGGACAAATGGAATACCTTGGCCAGATCAGCTTCCTGTTGCCAGTACCCTGGTCACGCATGATAGGCCGAGCTCATGGTCTTGCAGAGGCCTGAGGCTCTCTAGCCAGTCCAAGGTGGGGTCTGTAGCATTGGGGTCTGAGTTACTCAGGTGAGGAAAATAACAGAATTATAACTAGTTAGGTAAAGCGAGGTTTGTGGTGGGGGAGGCATAGAACGCTGAACTGACTGAGGAGCTGTAAGGTGTGATCTGAAAGGGCCGCTGCAGGGAAAGTGAGTTCTAGGGACCATGTGTGTAGGTGGAGGTCTTACAGGCTCAGGTCAGATGCTGGAGTTGCCAGGCTCCAAAAGTGAGGTCTAATGACCTGGCTCAGCCAAAATCAGCTGCTTGGCAGTCCGCTTTCTAGAACTGAGTCTGTTCGATGAGATCTGAGAGCCTGTGTCAGGCATGGTTTGGCCCCTGGGACTGTTGTCTGTCAGGTAAGGTTCCCCCAAACCTGGACTGTTTGGGGGAGGTGAAGGGCCTCACTGTTCATCTCATTACCCAAGCCAGAAACCTCTGGGCCTCACTTGATTCTCTCATTCTTTCAATTCACCTTGTTTGATTGAAGCTCCTGAATCAGTCCTCTGCACCCCCATCCAGGGGACCGTCATGTTCCTGATGATCGCTGGCACTCCCTGCTGCATTCTCTAGCACTGCCTCTCAGCAACTACCCTCCAGCTCGCGCTCCTTCTTTCATCTAGAATGTGCTGTGCTTCTCTTGCCCGGCCTGTCTCAACGGGCCTCCAGTAGAGAATTAAGCCCTAATGCCCCAGAGCATCCAGGGCATGTAATGAATCATCATCTCTTTGCTTCTGGGAAGGTACTAGTCTGAGATCATCCTTGGGAGAATTGAGAAGTGAAGTCACTGAAAGTATTTTCTGTGGGGCTTAATTCTCTCACTATTGAGGAAGGCTGCTCTTGCCACAGGACCTTCACATATGCTGTACTGGCTGCTGGAATGCTTCTCCCCACTCAGTGCTTTCCTGGATAATGCCTGCTCATTCTTTAGATCCAAGCTCAAGCTCAAGCACTCCTCAGATTTCTTTTACAATTGGTTTCACTGGTGTATTTCCTTTCTCCCAAACACTTGTATCTCATTTCCCATATATTGGCATGATTATTTCATTTGCACATCTGGGGAGTCGCCATGGGCTGTTTCTGTTGCCTGTGCTAGGAACGTGGTAGGTGCTCCATAAATAGCCATTAGGAAGATGTGAGTGTGTTGGGAAGAAACAGAGTGAAGTGTGCACTCTGTGTGAATGGTAGGCCTATATATGTCTTGGGGCTGAGGCTGACAAGACCTATCAGGTATGAGCTCCGGGCCTGTCACTGTCCCAGGAGCAGTCCTAGGCTTGGGTATGAGGCACTGGGTCTGTCAGTGTCCTAAGGGGCAAGGCCAAGCCCAGGTATATTAGTATTTGAGGAGGCAGGTAGTGTTGGATCTTTCATTGTCAAGGAAGTGTACTTGTGCATGGGTATGAGGCATTGGATCGGTTTGTCTGAGGACAGGGCCTGGCACAGGGAGGAGGTGCTGGGTCTGTCACTGCCCAAGGAGGCCAAGCCGGGCACTAGTGTGAGATTCTGACCTGTTAGTGTCCAGGTAGGTGGGCTCGTCACAGGTACAAGATGTGGAGTCTGTCAGTGTTCAGAGAGGCTGGATACAGGTATGGGTACTAGGTCGCTCAGTGTCTGAGGAAGCGGGACCTGGTACAGGTATGAGGTGCTGGGTCTGTCAGAGTGTGAGGAGGTGGGGCTGGCACACATATGAAGGGCTGGGTCTGTCGGTATTTGAATAGGCCTGGCACAGGGGTGAGGCCCTGCTTCTGTCAGTGTCTCACGAGGCACCATCAAACACCGGTATGAGCTGCTGGGTCTGTCAGTGTCTGAGGCTCCCGGGCGTGCTCTGGGTACGAGGTGCCGGGTCTGTCAGTATTCGGAGTGGCTTGGGCACAGGTAGGAAGCGCTGGGTCTGTCAGTGTCTGAGGGGGCTGGACCTGGCAAGGTAGGAGATGCTGGTCTGTTGGTGTCTGAGGAAGTGGGGCCTGGTACCAGGTATGAAGGGCTGGGTCTGTCTGTGTCTGAGGAGACCAGGCCTGGTGCAGGTAGGAGGCACTGGGTCTGTGGGTCTGTCTGAAGAGATGGGGCCTGGTACCAGGTATGAAGGGCTGGATCTGTGTCTGAGGAGGCCAGGCCTGGCACAGGTATGAGGTGCGCTGGGTCTGTCGGAGGAAGAGGAGGCCAGGCCTGGTGCAGGTATGAGGCGCTGGGTCTGTCGGAGGAAGAGGAGGCCGGGCCTGGTGCAGGTATGAGGCGCTCTGGGTCTGTCTGTGTCTGAGGAGACAGGGCCAGCCATGGTAAGGTCTTCGGTTGAGTCTTGTGGCTCTGGTCAGTCCCACGCATAGTCTGCCTGTTGGTCAGCACAAAGAGTTGCCAGCGCCTGGCCTGCTGTCTTGCTTCCCAGAGGTGGGTTGGGCCTGGCCCTCCATGCTGCACCTGTGGAAGAGCCTTGCTTTCAGGGGGCAAGTTTTGTGGCAGGAGGGAGGGGGGCGGGGTGCGCCAACCCTTCTTCAGCACCTTTTCCTGTCTCTCGTAGTGGGTAGGCGGACGCTACTCGCTGTGGTCAGCCATTGGACTCTCCATCGCACTGCATGTGGGTGAGTGTGTGTTTTAGTCTGAGAGACGATGTTGTGGTCTAAGGTCAGGGGTGAGGGTCTCAGGTCCCTAAATGCCTTCCTGACCCCACAAAGGCTGCTGGCCTCTCTGCCCTTGGCTGGAACATTTCTTTCAGGTCAGGAGGGCAGGCCTGACTCTTCTCCTGGGCTTGCAGGTTGGCCTTTCTCTCTGCCCCTCACAGCTGCCATCTGTCCTTTCCCATGGTGGGTGAAGTTCGATCTGCCTTTGCCCTGTGGGCAGACTCTGATCAGAAAGGCTTTCTGTAGGCCCAGGACTCCCCAGGTCTTCTTTCTTCTGGCTGCACCTCAGCCTTCCCTTGGTTCCAGAAGAAGCTATGCCCACTGCCAGGAGGGCACTGGGCATGACCATTTCCATTGACGCTGCTTTTGTGTCGTAGGATTTGACAACTTCGAGCAGCTGCTCTCAGGGGCTCACTGGATGGTAAGTGCTGAGGCTTGTGTTCTCTGCGCAGAAACATTTAGTGGGTCCAGCGTTGGCCCGGCTCCCTCCCCCGGCAGCTGCTCGGCTCTCACCGACCCTGCTCTTGTTTCAGGACCAGCACTTCCGGACGACGCCCCTGGAGAAGAACGCCCCCGTCCTGCTGGCCCTGCTGGGCATCTGGTACATCAACTGCTTTGGGTGTGAGACGCAGGCCATGCTGCCCTACGACCAGTACCTGCACCGCTTTGCCGCCTACTTCCAGCAGGTACCAGCTGCCAGGCCAGGCTTCGGGGTCAGCCTGTGGGGGGCCTGGGAGGCCCATGAGCCCAGGTGCCCAGATTCCTGCCCCTCCAGGGGCTTTTTCTCCCCCATTGCCTTTGGGTATAGCCAGGGCCCACTCTGTTTCGAGTCTCGGGGTGGAACTTTGTTACCAGGGTCTGTTTGATCTGAGTGTTAGCCAAGTCTGACTACCATGGAGGGGCATGACTGGTTATCATGGGGGCCAGTCGGACCCTGGCATGGCTCAGGGCATGGGTCTCAGCTGGGTCAATTCTTCCTTGGCCATCACTGTGTGCCTGCGATAGGGTCGGGGCCATCAGCCGGGACCCTTGTGGCTTGCACTGCTTTAGTTCCTCTGGAAAAGCAGTTACCCCCAGTCTGTGGTGCCTCTTTGGGCTACTTACAGCCTCTGCAGCCCCTCAAATCTCCAGAGCCCCCAGGGACCAAATAGCATCTCTCCTGGTCCACATTCTCTTTGAGGGGGCCCTTCCACACCTGTCCCTGTTTGTTTTTTTTTTTTTTTTAATTTTTGTTTTTAATGTTTTATTTATTTCTGAGAGACAGAGAGAGAGAGAGAGACAGCGTGAGCAGGGGAGGGTCAGAGAGATAAGGAGACACAGAATCTGAAACAGGCTCCCAGCTCTGAGCTAGCCATCAGCAAAGAGCCCGACGCAGGGCTCGAACCCACGAACTGTGAGATCATTACCTGAGCCGAAGTCGGATGCTTAACCGACTGAGCCACCCAGGCACCCCGAGTAGGCAACTCTTTTATCTCAGGGTCATGAGTTCGAGCCCCA